TTGTGGAGCATACTAGCCTGCCTATCGAGCTATATTGCGACAATAGTACAGAAGTAGTCCAAACCAATGACCCAAGGTTCCATAGATGAACAAAATACACTGATAGGAAGTACATGTTCTACATGATATTCTCCGGCAAGAAAATGTACTTGTGGCTAAAACATTGCATTGGAACACAACTTTGTTGATCCATTAACAAAGGTGTCGTCGATCAATAGTTTTGATCAACACCTGGATAACATTAGAGTTAGATGCAATTTGAATTGGCTATGAGGAAAATGTACTTGTGGCTAGAACATTGCATTGGAACACAACTTTGTTGATCCATTATCAAAGGTGTTATTGATCAATAATTTTGATCATCATCTGGATAACATTAGAGTTAGGTGCAATTTGAATTGGCTATGAGGGCAAGTGGGAGCTGTTGGGATTTATATACCCTGGCATAGCAAATTCCTGTTTGGATTAAAGTGACATATGTTCCTGATGTTTATGAAATATTTATGTTTTATACAATTGGTGAATTCAATGTATTGTATTTCGATTCATTATAGAATTGATAGTGTCCATTTGATTACAAGAGATATTTATATATATGTTTGTGATGACAATCAATGCATGATATATAAATAGTAATCATAAATGGTTCATAGTCGGTAATTATGGATGGACTCATAATTAATTAAGATTTGAACTGGATCCGCGTTAGGTTGAGATATATTGCGAGAGCCGTCATATGCAATTGCTCCCTATCACCGTCATGACATTTGACTCTTAAGTATGAGAAAATTATAGACTCTTTTATTAATTAATAATTACTTTGATTTGTTCGGCGGATTCTTTGGGATCCTTAGACCGACACTTTGGGTAGTTATGTAATTAATAATTAGAGGGTTATATTTTCAATATTTGCATCATTGTTACTTGTATTTATTTTGTATTGATTATGGTTGATCACAAAGTAAATTCGAAGGCCTTCATGTATTTTTAGACAAAATGATTTATTATATATTTATTTATTTAAATTATTATTTTTGTCAAACAAATGTTTTATTGTGATCGAGCCAGAAATAATCAAAGGTACCAAAATAAATATATTAATTAAGTAGTCGGATTGATGGCTTTATTTATCCGATAACTAATTATGCATAGAGGGGTCAAAGTGTAATATTGACTTAGAGGTTATTTATTATTTAATTGGAGTTCAATTAATTTCTTTTAGTGGAGTAGAAATTAATTTATGAATTAATTGAATTGGGTCCATGGACCGGGCCAATTATTAATTCATTGTAGGCAATAAAATAATAGGCCCAATGGATTCTCACTCATAGCCCAACTTAATATTGGAATCATATTAGATTTGAGACATGTAAATTAGAGATTGAGAAGGATTCGTTGTTTCCTTTTCTTTACCTTTATGTTGCCTATAAATATACATGGTCTATGTATATTTTAAGTGTGATTTTTTATGAGAAGGAAAAAGGAATAAATTTTCTCTCTCTAGAAAATTAGGATTTATGTTCTCATCTAATGGAGGCTCGCACAAGCTTAGTTTTCCAAGGTAATTCATGGAGGCTTATGAGTAATTCCTAAAGGCAAAATAATTACCAAGAAGATGGAGATCCAAGGAGAAGGCATCTTGTTAAGGGATCTACGATAAGTGAGAACATTTACTTTAGAGGAAAGTTTTAAAGGTTTACTCAGACCTTTGATGTAAGTATTCAATTAATGGATACATCATATTTTTATTTTTGTATAAAACTTGTCTCTATGTGATGAATCAAGATCTATGAATCAAAATCCCTCGAAAAGTTTTTAAAACTTGCACGTTTCCCAACAACCTAACCACTGATATTGTGTTTTGGGATTCGGATGAAGAATGTTTTTACTTGCTCGACCTTTTAGAGGTCTCTAATTATGTTGGTCCAATGAGGTTCAGAATCAAATTTAATATCCCAAATCTCATAAGAGTAGTGGGTTCTTATAATGGCTTGTTATGTTTGACCGATCGCTCTGTTGTTCACAATACGGACACTGTTTACATAAGCAATCCCATTTTGGGAGAATGTGTTGCCCTTCCCAAACCCATAATATCAGATATATTTCCAGTGGCATACCTATTTGGATTTAGTCCCACAACAGGGCATTATAAAGTCCTAAGAATCAGTAGGAAGGGGTTCTTCAACTACTGCAAGGCTGAGGTTTATACACTTGGAACTGTTAGATGGAGATATGTTGGGGTTTTTCCTTTCCCAGCAGGAGGAAGGGGGATAGTTAATTTGAATGGAGCTATTCATTGGATGACTTCGAGTCCTAAAACTTCTGACCTAATATATTCATTTGATGTTGCGGAAGAGCAGATTCGCCCTATCCCATCTCCTCCTGACTTGCCGTCTCCTTCAAATTATAGAATGTGACTGGGGGTGTTAGGAAATTGTCTGTGTGTATGCTTTAATAGTTATAATGGTTATAATTGTTACGACCATTATCTTGATATGTGGTCCATGAAAGAGTATGGAGTAGCAAAGTCTTGGACTAAAGTCCGAATTTTGAGAACCTCAATTCCATCTGGAATGGTGAATAGTTTGGTCAGTCACTGTCTTTACCCGATCACACTATGGAAAGATGGAGAGATATTGTTTGAAAGTGATCATAATACGAATATTCTACTTTCATATAATCCCAAAAAGGGGAGTTTTACTGCACTCAAGGTTAATTATCCAAAAGAAAAGGTTGAGTACCGGCGCAGTGCACATACCTACAGCAGCTCAAGCTTTTCTTCACTCAAGGATGTTGCAAGCACAGGAGGTTTAAGGATGGTAGATGTCAAGTCAAAACAGTAATGTACGTACTACTTCCAATCCATCACTAAGTTCTGTTAATGCTTTATAAGCTTTACTTATATCCATGTACATGTGCTTGTGGAATATCAGTTGGTGTCTACTTCAAATTAACCTGAGATGTAAATATATTTTTTTTATTGCAACGTCTTATTTTGTTCTTCATATATTAGGTTCCAAACTTGGATATAGTGATAATAATGTAATAATGTTGTGATTGACAAAGCTTATACTCGACATTTTAAACCAAATCTTAAAGTGATTAATGTTCATATGCACACCCCAAGGAAATTTTATAATTCATTGAGTACTACAATTAAAGTGGCAATGTCACAACATATAATTAATCAACCATCACAAGATGAACAAATTGTTGTAAATAATGATTACTATGCACAATAAATGAATCCATTAAACTTAACAAATACAGTACAATACAAGAAAATCAAACTTCTTGTCTGCACAAGTTTGCTGTTTGAAGAAGTTGCTATTTCATTACTTACTGGTGCTGGTTTAAGAATTAGATTTCAGACTACATGTTGGTCTTTGATAGGGATGCTCTTGGCTTATTATGGATATGTTCAGACTTTCATGATGGAGTGTTGTGTCTAATTTTGTTCTTGATTGCTGTTGCTACACAAGTTTGATGCGTCTCAATACTTGATTGGGTTTTCACTGGTTGCACTTCCATTTCTGAAGTTCCTGCTGCTGGGTTTCTTGTTGTTTGAAGATCCTGCTATCACTTAATTTCTGGTGTTTTGAAGTTTGAAGTTACTGGCATCCACACTTTTGCAAAGGAAATCATGGAGTAGCAGCTACTTGCAGTATTGTTGTTAGGAAGGTTCGAATGAAGACAGATTCAGGGTTCAATGGTGCTGCTTAGAGTATGGTATCAGTTGATTCTACATGGAGTACTTCTGCTGCTGCTCTTACTTAATATATGCTGAAATGTTTTCACTTGTGGACTCCTCCTGTTACTTTCTGCTTAATTATTACACTGGTGCAGCTTGTTGATGAAACAGTTTTCAAGTTAGGAGGAGTCACTCTTTGGTTATCATGGTTTAGACTACACTTCCATGCCGGGATTGTTTATTTTGTGTATCTTACTGGTCAAAGGATGTCTTGCAGTATAAAGGTTGTCTTTATTCTGAGTTTGTATCTGGTTTATTTTGATTTATTTGTCTTGTGGTTGTTGTGGTGTGGAGTTGCAGTATAAAGGTTGTCTTTATTCTGAGTTTGTATCTGCTTTATTTTGATTTACTTGTCTGGTTGTTGTGGTGTGGAGTTGGTGATCTTGGGACAACCCTTGTTGTCTTTGGTCTTGGCTGTAATGTCCTAATTTGTACATTCTTATTTTTATTTATTCAAAGCCTACCCATTTACCTAAAAAAAAAAAACCAATTTGGAGCCAATACTGAGAAGCCTCAATTTTTGGCCTTTGCATCTCCTTTTGTAGCCTAATGACTCGAAAAATTTTGTGAGGGGGCGGCTTTTTATTTTGTAGAGACGAATTTATATAGTGGGTTCATTTTTATAATTTTAATGGAGTTTTATTCATAAATTTTAAAAAATTTAAAATATAAAATGCAAAAAAAAAAATATAATAATAATAATAATTAGTGGGGGTGAATCTGTATAATATATATATATATATATATATATATATATATATATATATTGCTTTGACTTTTTAAAATGTAATACTCCCTCCGTCCTACAGAGTTCCATTTTTAGAAATAGAAGTTTTAAAGGGGAAATGCATTTAATGCATTGTTCCTTTTTTAAATTATCAATTTGTCCCTTCTAATTTAAATATATATAATTAGAGAGTTTGAAATTTTTTAAAAAGATAAAGAACAATGATGAAAATATAGAATTTATTTGCTTTGACTTTTCAAAGAGGAGGACTAATTTGGGATATGTAAAAAGAGAAAAATTGACTACTAAATATGGGACGGAGGGAGTAACTAATTTGAAATATTTTATACATATAATATATATTTTTACAATATTAGTCTTACTGTGTGTGTCTACGTGAGATGACTAATGATACTTAGTTTATCCATCCAACCTAAACTACTTAGCAATTTCTTTATTTTATTTTCAATCTATAATAAAATCATCTTTGTATATATATATATTTTCGAAAGGCAAAGCAAATTTATTGATGAAAAGGAATGCACCTGGCAAAACGGCCCAATGGTAAATTTGGCCCACATAAACACAAGCCTGTTGCCAAACTACTACAACCCAAGCCACTAGTGGCCCAACCCAATAACAACAAGCCCACCCAATACATAAACAAATTCAAAGCAGTGGAAAGTTGCTCTAAATCAGATAAATTAACAGACTAAAAATAATTATTTCCACCAGTGGCAAATTGAATATTTTGGTAACAAATGCATTATTATTTTCTGCCATCCAAGAGCATAGTTGGCTCCAAAGCAAGTATTGCTTGATCCTCACATAGTGTAGCAATCTGGTCCTCTGGCAATGTCACCATCACAGTCCTTGCAAGCCCCTCTTCAGGCGAAGGCAACACCACAATCAACCCTTCACCCTCCACATTCCCAACATGATAGGACACATGAACAGGCTTCTCGTGTGCCTCAAACTTCGCCTCGTACAACAAAGATCGGTAAGCGTTCTCTTCTTCTAGCTCGGATGGTATGATCATATGTTCGGTGTTGATGCATGTCAATTCAGGACCGTACATCTTGAAGGGTGGCGGATATTCCCCCGTCTCCCCCTTTCGTGATTCAAGCCAATCTATAACAGATCGAAACTCCTCTTCCTCGAGACCTACAACGTGACGATGCACTATCTCTGTCACTTGTCCTAACACACCACGTCCCAATGTTTCAGCATCCAATGTTAATAGTGAAAAATGTACGGCATTTCCGAAAAATCCTAATGGGATTGGCGCATTCATGAGTCCTCGGAAGTCCGTTGAAAAGGAAAGGGCATGCCTGCCATCATTTTTGGTCACATTTAACCGCGCAACGCGCATCCAAAACAGTGCAGCTAGCAAGTCGAATGGCGTAGCGTTAGGGCAATAGTCATGGACTTCAGCTAGGCATTGCTTGATGGTTGAGTTTGAAAACCTAAAGGTGGCCGTGGCCATCTTTGTGGAGCGCGGAGATACTTCTAAATCAGGCTTTGTTGCATAGTATGTCTTTGATTCTGTGTTCGTGGTGGAAGAGGGTTGAGCTTGGAGTGCAGGTGGATGGATGAGTACTGGAGGATGCGCGAGGGGTTCGGCTCGGTTAAGATCTGTCCAGGATTTGAAAAATAGGGCTGCAGATGTTGGATCGGCATGCAAGTGAGTGCAACTCAGTCCAATGGCAAGGCCACCTTCTTCAAAATCATTTATCTGCAAAATTATTGCTAATGTGAATAACATGCAATATCCTAAAATGAAAATTTAATAATAGTTTTAATTCAAAAAAAAAAAAAACTAAATTATTTTCAGACTAGCTGCCACACCGAAGAGAGATGAGTGACAAATTAAGCATGTAAAAGCTTGGAAACTAGGAGAAGCAACATCCTTCTAAGGTAATCCTATGATTTTATGTACAGCTATGATATTTGGGATATATATATATATAAATAATCTCTTACTCATTAATAAAGAAATTTATCTAAATAGATGATAGTTAGATGAAGGGATGGCAACGGGAGCAGTTTTAGGAGTTGTACTCTTTCCTATTTGCACAACTGTTTAGAAACTCCCACCTCGTTTCTGTCCAAAATCGCCTAAACCGGGGACCTTTCCACACCATTCCCGTCACGTTTAACTTTTTTACCCCCGTAAGCACCTGTTTAGTTCCAAAATTCCTCCTCATTTTTTAATTTTTTTTTCCTTAAATACAATTATATAGCTATTGAAAAAAATCATAAAAAATGGGCAATCAATAATTTAGCATAAAATTCGAGGATATAAGTATTCTTAGTTTGTAGGGTTTTACCCCTCACTAAAACGATTGAGAAAATGAGTGAATATGATTTAACGTTTCTAAAGTTAACTGTATGTACTAATACAACAAGGGTAATTTAACAATTAACCTATCTAAATAGGGTGAGGCGGGGTGACCTCCCACCGTCCCTGTCCCGAACCCGCATGAATTTTCATTAATAAAATAATCCTGCCCAAATAAATTAAATGATTGCTACAAATTACTATAAACAGTATAGGGTAGCACAGGTACCCGTTCCGCCGGACAAATTAACATCCTACTTAGATGTGATTGTAATGATTTTTTTTATAGTACCTTTATGGTCCAAATGAATTTCTTATTTCTTAATGAGCAATAGATATTTCTCTCTCTCTCTCTCTCTCTCTATATATATATATATATAACTGTTTATGTTTCATATATTTAATGCAACCACCTGCTTAATATATATAACTGTAAATGTTTCATATATTTAATGCAATCACATGCTTAATTAATAAAAAAAGGTTGATTGAAATTGAGCATGAGGACTTCTATACTAATATTATGGAGTCCATCTAGATTAATAATAACAATTTAATTGGCCTAAGGGTTTTACCTATCTTTTTCAATGTGAGCCGAATATTAATGGAGGTGGGGGGATTAGTCCTCAACCATAAGTAGAGAGACGTGTGCTTAAACCAACGCGAGTGGTCCCTTGTTAGGGAAATACATTCCATCAGAGTCATTTGTCTTTGGATGTGTTTTCTATGTGTCTCTGCACGGACTATATCGGGCACATCATTATAAAATTATCATTTTACCCTTGAATTAAAGAAATTTAGTAAAGATATTATGAAAAGTCGTGATAGAGAAATCGAAACTTTCTATCGAAATAATAACCTAACTTAACGTAAATTATCCACGTCAGATTTTTTTCAAACACGTGAGATGTTAAAACTCCATATATCTCTTCAATCTTCTCACCTTGGTTTCCCTTTTTCTCTCTTCTTTTCTCTGCCTTATTTTGTCTCCGTCAATTCTTCTCTTCTCTTCTCTTTCTGATTCTAATGATTAATTATCTGATGATAAATTATTTATTTTTATATGATTTTTATCTACAGTATTCAAAGACCCAAAATTCATTTAAGGTTATAATTCTCCAACAAATATAAACACCTTCCTATCCTCACTTTCTTGTTCAAGTCTTGTAAGTCTTCTTTATTGGGCATCTAGAATTCTGATTCACTACTAATTCATTTCAAGAAAAGAACTTTCCAATCCCAGATTAATGAAAAATATGCGCAAGAGACATTAATCTCTTACATAATGAAAATCAAAGACACTTGAAATAAAAAACCAATCTAAATAAAAATTTTAAAACAAAAATCATTTAACTGGCGGAAGAGAACCTCCGTTGATTTGCTTGGATACAAAATCCGTGAAACATCTTTTTTCTTTTTCTTTCACTTTTTTGTTCTTTCTGAAACAAGAGTTGGCAGACTGTATTAGCAAATACAGATAAATATATATATATATATATATACACACACACTATGATTAAGTATGAGAGGAGAGGGATAGAATCGAGAAAGAGAGAGATACAGGGCAATAGAGGAGAGAGAAACGAAAAGGAAGAGAAAAGAAATCGTTGATTTTAGAATTTCACGCGTTCAGTCTCCTGGTAAATAATTTTCGATCATTCTATCATTATTCTATTCAAACGATGAAATTTGCCCTCATTTTTCCACTCTCTATAGTTCTCACTCTCGGACAACTACTCTTAACTCTTGTGAATCAAGAATCCTATCTATTATCATTACTCATATATATATATATATATATATATATATATATATATTAATTATTATGATGTAGACAATACATAAACTGTACTCACATATATATTCACATATATATACATGCATATTTACGTATTCAATATATCAATTGACCATTATGATGTAGACGATACATAAGTTGTACTCATATATATATATATATACACATATGTATACATACATATTGAATATATCAATTGACCACTACGAAGTAATAATAATAAACATACGTAAGCTATTGAGAATCGAGGTTTGCCACAACCAATGCGAAATTTGACAATATAATTTATATAATGTTGTTTTTCAAATAATTAGTTGTGCATCGTGATATTTGTACATAATTTAATTGTTAAAAAAACAATAAAAGTTCATGGCAAGTTTAACGTGGTGTACCTCATCGTAACTTTTCCAATTATAAAATCACGTGCATTATATGTAAAATTATATATATATATATATATTTATATATATATAAACAATACAATAACAGGATAGCACATGTCCTTTTTAAAAATTTAAAATATGACCAAAAAAAAAAAATTCCTTTCTTTTTCATAAAATCATGAAATAATTCAGATCGTAAGATATATATATAAACATATATATATTTAGGTCATTCATAAGAAATATGAGATATCACCAAGATAAAACCTTTTAAATTGTTAATACCAAATAGTCCGAGAAGATATCATTAGATCCAACAAGAATTCATTGAAGTGTACCTGGATTCTGAAGGGTGACCATATATCCGGGTCATCGGGCATATCATCCTTCCACACCGTCAGATCCCTCTCCTCAGACCCATCAGCCGATCTCAGCCATTCATCGAGCGTGGTCCCCACACTGGCCCTGAGTGTCCTAACGCCAGCATCGTTGCACTTCACCGCCCAGTTACCATCCTCTCCTCGGAACAACCGACCCGTCACCGGCGGGTACAGGCAAAGGAGATCCGCGAGCGAGCCCCGAATCCTGTTGATCAACCTCTTGTCAAATGGGTTGTTCCGGTAGTAGAAAATGATGTGGAGCGTGTGCTGACCCATGGCGTGATCCAGTGCCGAGAAACGGTGCGTCTTACCCGGCCCGACTGGCTCGCTGGATACCACCGTTAGTTTTGAATGCACATTTACGCGGCTTTCCACGTCGGACATTCTTACACGGATGGATAGAGTGTGTGTGTAGTGTGTAGTGTGTGTGGATAACAAGATGCAGATATATACATAGTACCTATAATGGTATATATAGAGAAGGGTCAGTGATCTATTACCTTATTAGGTACATGTGATCTTTGGGAAGTTGTTGAATATTTATTTAAGAAGTTAACGGATGTTAGTTGAGGGCATTAATGTCCTATGGTGGTGAGTTGAGGCATTGTTATGAATGGGCAAAGAGGGACAAAGATTTTAAATGTTTAGCCCAAAAAAATGGGTATATGCTACCCTCACAATTCTTACATTTAATTGGCTTTCCGTATTCTTGCAGTCTTTACTCGTGATATATATATATATATATATATATATATATATATATATATATATATATATATATATCATTAAATATTATTTACACTATATTTGCATTTCCAATCTTAGTCACACAATTTGTTTAGAGTGGTTCCGCTCTCAAGCTTTGCACGCGAATTTGTAATTTGGGAGTGGATTTGTAATTTGGGAGTGAATTCGTACACAATTTCGTGAATTTATTTTCCTAATTCGCGATTTTCATACTAATTCACTTTATATTGTTTATATTATCATATATACATTTATTACTTACATTATTACTTAATATATACATTACTATACTACCATATATATATAGTAATTATACATGTTTGGAAATACTATTAAAAAACTTCACAATCGGAGAATATTACAAATAAACCACGTATAAGTTAGCTTATTTATTACATATATATCATTATATATTTGCATATGAATTTAAATAAATAAAAAAATATATAAAATATATATGTTATGACCTGATATAATTTTATTTAAACCTAATATATAGACGCTCTTGAGACTCTCCCGCTTGTTTCAGATTTTGACGCTCTCGCACTCACTTCTGCTCTATGTGACTTAGTTTCCAACCAATTAACCTTCAGACTTACATGAATTTGGGTATTTCTTTAAAATTTATTATTATTTTTTTTTCTTAATTTTCTCTAATTTTAAATTACTTAAAAACTACTCCCTTCATCCCACCATAGAGGTCCATATTTAAAAATTAGAGTTTTTAAGGGGACATGCAATTAATGCATTGTCCCTTTTTAAAATTACCAAATTATCCTTTTTAATTTAAATATATATAGTTACAAAGTTTGAAATGTTTTTAAAAAATAAAAGACAATGATGGAAATATAAATGAAATATACTTTGACTTCTCAAAAAGGACAAGTAATTTGAGACATATAAAAATGAAATAATAAACTCTTAATATGAAATTGAGGGAGTAATTAAAAATGTTATTCTATTTCCGTTGGAACCGGAGGGCCAACGGACAGGCTCGACGAGTGAGCCCAAGTGGTAATTTCAAAAGGTCGACCCGCTGCCCCACGATTGCTCTCTCCTCCAATCCACGCCGAAGTGAGCCTCCAATAAAAGACCCCAAAGTGGGTCTTCTTCCCCACACAACTTGTTTTATCAAAAAACAATTGCAATCAAACCCTAGCTTCTTCTACCTTCAAATGGACCCGATAATCTACATTAAAACTAACTGAATTCATGAGCTGGGATTTGATTTTAATCATCAAAATTGAGTGTAAGGCTAAAAATTAGTTATTAATTCACTCTATATAATGTAAGTTCTAGCAAGAGGTTCGGCCATGCCTTCGGTTTCTAACTCTCACCAACATATATATATATATATATTTTGTCATCTCACCAATATTCAATCAGTTCGTATATGTATGACAATATATGTTTTAAGCCAATCAGATTTTTTTATATTAAGCTCGCAAAAAGTTAAGGAACCCATATAGTTATAGACTTGTAAATGGATAAGATTTGTACGGAATCAGGCTTGACCCGATTCAAATCAGATAAGGAAGTTTTATGATCCAAACTGATCATAAATTGACGGATCCCTCCTTACCACCACCTTTACCTTTTTATTTATTTAGGATTTGCTTCTAGGTCCTTGCAAGGTTAGTAACAAGAATAAAAAAAATAAAAAAATAAAATAAAATAAAATAAAAAAGCAGCAAGCCTCGTAGGGCACTTTTTTTTTAAAAAAAAATTATATAACACTTTTTACCACGGTGCGAAACCGTGGTAGAATATCACTATTTTCTACCACAATTTCAAACCGTGATAAAAAGTGTTTTCCACCGTAATAAAATGTTATTTTTCTTGTAACTTAATTGTACAACTAATTGTACAAAATGTGTCCTCTTGCAGAGTTTGAGTGCAGTGATATTTTGGGAGTTATTAATATACATGCTAGCTAGACTAGCAAGTCTATCATGTTATAGTATATATAATTAAAATTAGAAAATTTTCTTTCATCAAATCAACACTAATTTATATATCATACTATATATTATAATAATATATATTTAAATTAGATTGAATTATTTTTCGATAGGATTAACCCTAATTCATATTCGATAGCTTATCGGGTTAGATTCGGATCATTATAAAATTATTATATTACAAATTAATCCATATCCGACTTATCGAATTAGATTTCAATCAAAATTCGATTCAGATGTACCTTCATCTATTTACTCTAATCAATGTTATAAGAGCTAACTAGATTCCATGCTTAACACATACGTATCATCCAGAAAGAATTAAGAGTTTACACAATTAATTCTCACCTAATTGTATAACTAATTAAGAGTTTGCACGATTAATTCCCACCTAATTGTACAACTAATTGTACAAAATGTGTCCTCTTGCATAGTTTGAGTGCAGTAATATTTTGGGAGTTATTAATATGCATGTTAGAATTGATATTCTCACCGAATTGTACAACTAATTGTACAAAATGTGTCCTCTTGCAGAGTTTGAGTGCAGTGATATTTTGGGAGTTATTAACATGCATGTTAGAATTGATATTGTCACCTAATTGTACAACTAATTATACAAAATGTGTCCTCTTGCCGAGTTTGAGTGCATTGATATTTTGGGAGCTATTAATATGCATGCCAGACTATCAAGTCTATCATGTTATACTATATATAATTAAAATTAGAAAAAAAAAAAATTTCATCAAATCAACACTAATTTATAAATCATATTATATTTTATAATAATATATATTTAAATCGGATTGAATTATTTTCTGATAGGATTAACCCTAATTCATATTCGATAGCTTATTGAGTTAGATTCGAATCATTATAAAATTATTATATTTCAAACTAATCCATATTCGACTTATTGAATTAGATTTCAATCAAAATCCGATTCATATGTACCTTCATCTATTTACTCTAATCAATGTTATAACAGTACTGCTAACTAGATTCCATGCTTAACACATACGTATCAGTCATAAGGAATTAAAGAGTTCACACGATTAATTCTCACCTAATTGTACAACTATAATTGTACAAAATGTGTCCTCTTGCAGAGTTTTAGCAAGGATATCAACTAATTGATTTTCTATTTTCACAAACTCAAGCTGAAAATATTTATTGCACTGTTATTATCACACCTAATGGGGAAGTGATCAAAATTAAGTATAAAGTCTTCAAGTGGTTACCTTATATACAAAGTGTGATATCTCTCGATTTTAGAGTCACGAGTGATCAATTCCGAGCACAGAATATAAAGAATATTAAATAATTAATATTTAAACAAGTATTTGAATACAAAAAGAATAATAAATAAATAAATAAATAATAAGCTGAAGGAAACTAAATAATAAATCCCTATTTTAAAATCCTCAAATAAATAATAATTAAAAATCCAATAATAAAATCCTCCAATCCTCGGACACTAGTAATTAATTAAACTACAACTTAGGAATCTATATTGTGGACCCCTAATAATATCCTAACTGAAAAAAAAAAAAAAAAAAAAAAAAAAAAAAAAAAAAAAAAACTGAACTGAAATAAAACTAATAAGTAAACCATGACGAAGAATCTTACGTAGAGTCGGAAGAGTGAATGATTGTCTCTGCTCGGCACGAACAATTTCTGATAAGTGCTTAAATGTTGCACATTTCAGCACCTAAGTTAGGATATTTCAGTCTTTGCATCTATCTTAATTTCATGTTTTAGTCCTAATTTATGTTTATGTGTATCTCAGGGTAATAAAGTTAAAATGAGCTAAGAATGGTCCATTAAAGCCTTTTTGGAGTCAAGCAAAGATATTCAGAAAAAGTTCAGAAAATGACAAAAAGAGGTCATAGCCCATTGCTCGTATAGTGTGTTTATTCTTCGAAAGCGGTCAATCTCGGGCCTTTGATGATGTTCCCAAAGATGAAGAAGCAAACCAATTAGCCCGAAGCCAAAATGGAACTAAATAAGGCTTAAAGGAAATTTCCAACTCTAGGGGGATCGATCCCCCAGGACTTGGCAACATTACAGATTTTTTTTATTATTTGGGCTTATTTTGTGAATTATTGGGTTTTAATAGGGTTGTTACTTAAGGCCCAGTGAGCCATTAGATTAAGGTTAGTATTTATTTTATTTAGATGATTATTATTATTATTATTAAGTTTTATATTCTGTATCGTATATTTTTTTCTCTCTGGAAAAACACGGGAAAGAGGAGAAAAAGTAAGAACAGGCTAGAGTTTTGAGAAGAAGCTCAGAAATGATGAATCCAATGATGGAGATTGTTCTGTCTTTAACAACCATGAGTGGCTAATTCTCCTACTTAGGGTTGGATAAACCCTAAGCATGTAACCTATTCTCTCTCTCTTTTCATACTTTTTGGGGATTTATTTTTGTAATTGATGTATAGGCTTGAATAACATAATTTAATTCTTTCAATTGTTTATTCGTATTAATCTCATGTTGTCTTATGTGTTATTGATGAATAAACAAGCTATACACTTGAATTCCTTGTAAATTGATTCTTGTGATGTCTATGCATGTGGTTAATTAGTGGTAATCGTGTTCAAATTGATAAAAAATTACTTCTATTTGATGGATGGCACTACATGTTTAGGTTAATTTATTGTCTAATTAGTTTTAAATTCATGTTTAATTAGTTTAATTTAAGATTAATTAATTTAATTGCAATTCAATTATTAGATAAGTA